AACCATTTTCAGTGAAATTAGTATTTAATGTTTCTTTCCCAACTATATTCGTTAACAGAACGTTTTTTCCTCAAAGTTTTAGTGTATCACGTGCGCCGTTTCACAACTATAACATTACCTTGCAAAATATAGTTCGCGATAAAATGGTTCGTATTTACGTTTTTACTGAAGTCTGACATTAATGAATAGTTCGGATGTCACATACGTTTTTTTCCACTTTTTGTAGTTTGGTTTCAAATGAAACAACCGCGGAAAAATGGCCGTGCGTAGTGAGGTGATTGACCACAAAATTGAAGGCTGCCTGTGGCAGAGGCACTATTGCGTAGAGCGCAAAGCCCTCTGGGAAGGAGATTGCGGTCTCGCGTTACATGCACAGCGTGTTTGGAATGTTGGAAGAAAAGTTCTAGTTGTTTGTTTCGAACATGAAACGTTTGGAATTTATCTTCTAATGTACCGATGTTACTCGGTACACACATTATGGACTATCCAATACCAAATTTAAACCTGATATGAAATTTCAAGCGTGGCGATGTTAATAGGAAGTGTAATACACACACAAATAATATGTACGTATTTCTTACTGTCCGTGAGCGGCAACGAAGATGTGTTGCGTACACTGAACGAATTTGATCAACACTGGCGCAATACGCATGATGGCAATAAACGGTACCGCGTGGAGGGACGGACAATGCAAGCCATTAAATCAGGTGATGTTGATGCAACCAAGTTGTACGAGTTAGAGGAACTGCAGCTGTGGAATGATGCTAATCGTGTTTACCCAACCTCGTTCGACTTCAAAGTTTACACACGCGCCTCAACAATCCCACCACCCGAGCTACTTTGCTTCGGTGAATGGTCTCTGCTCATGAACCCCTTAGGCCTCGACGCGAAAGTGTTATGTACATTTCAGTTTTTGTACAGTGTTTACGGGTCCGCGTTGGAAAAGGCAGAATATAGAGGTGATTCGTTTTACCAAGCACTGTCTCTGTTATATCATTATTCCATGTGTGAGAGTAATCCGAACTCAATTTACGCCGACTTACAACACTGTCCAAACCCATGCCGTGGTGACCCGTGCTCTCGGATTGCCAACGCCGTGCCAAACTCCTGTATGATCGTGGAGGGCGCTAAGCCTCGATCTCTCAATAGGAATTTTACTTGTAAATGTAAACCCGGGTACGAGTTGCCATTCGGCGACTTTAGAGATGTTCAAAAACAGTATCTAAGAAAGCATGTAAATACAATTTATTTCAAAGACATGTTCCAAACCTGTAAACCCTCGGAGTCTCGTCACTCAATTTTCCCGGACGACGCAGCCGACTTTCAATTCTTGAGCGAAATAGGTGACACATTTCCGTCAGCGTATTTGGAATTTCCACGGGAATTAAACGGCGATTTTTCTGTCATTGAACAAGTGGGCGTGGAGAACTTTCTGACGGCGTGTGCTCGACCAAAACCCGAAGGTGACGAAATACCGGACATAGATTTGTGTGATCCGAAAGAAATTGGAGATCGTGTTGAAAATAAATTGTCACGCGCTAACTACATTGGCGAGAAGTTCCAGAACGGAGTTTCTTTATTTTTAAATTTTGAAGTATGTGCATCAGTTGAGGAAACAAAGAAGTACTATTGGCAATACAAATACTGTCCCAATCCTTGCATGATAGGCCATGTGAGGGCGTAGACAATGCGTACGATGATAGCTGTATTGCCTTCCCGGACAGCAACAGGTGGTTGGCTAAAAACATGAAGTGGGACGAAATATGGAAATCAGGGAAACTAGCTCGGCGAATATGGGGCTGTAAATGCAAGAAAGGTTATGTACACCCCGAAAAGGCTATCACAGGCAATTTCGCTAGAGCTGATTCAATTTTTATTCCCGCGTTGCACACCTGTACAGACACATACGACAATTGTGCTGACAAGACGTGTCCTGAAGGGGGCGTATGCGAAGACATCGGTCCAGAAGCAATCTGCACATTCTGCTACAATAATCCATGCAAGAATGGAGGGACTTGTATCGACGGAGAGATGCGATACGAATGCAAGTGTGTGGACGGGTACACCGGGGAACGCTGTGGCGACGGAACGGCAGACATATGGGGTGAATGGGGTCCGTGGTCTTTTTGTTCTGAATCGTGCGCAGATGGTTTGGCGGTGAAAGTCAGAGTAGGAGTTTCTGGACAATGTACCGGCAAAGAAGACATTGAAACTAAATCATGTAACCCCTGTCAGAGCGAAATGCCGATGAATGAGCATAGTGACGAATTTTTTGAGTATATGGCGGGTGACAGTATGGGACTGAAAGTGAACAACCGCCTTAGTCTGCTGCCTATTGTACTTATAATTGTACCACTTATATTGTATGGTTCACACTAGATCGTTTACATTATATAAAAGGCGGTGGTC